CCCCCTGGGACGCACCTGTTAAAATATTGTTTTGATAGGCGTAACTAGGCCTTCTACCAGATGTGTATGCATCGCGTTATGTCTGTGAAACATGGTACACATCAGTCACCTTTATAGTGGATTGATGTGATATCCACCGGCCGTGAAGCATTACATTTTGGAAGCAAGCCAGAAGCACAGGTGCACATTGCTTACACTTCAAGTCTATTTTTTTTACACTTCCAGATCGTGCCAATATCAGCAGTTCAGATCGGGCTAGACAGGAAGTCAAACGTGAAATCGGTGTAAAACCTTAAGAAATTTTCTAAATAAAAATAACATTCCAATTTCCAGTGCTTCACTCGTATAAAAGTACTTCATTACCTGAAAAACCTTCGTACTTGAGGTAAAAAGAGCAGAAAATAAACCTCAGACCATGTTTAGATGCATGCTGTTATCTTTCTTTTTACTTGTTATTGCGTTTGGTATCGCGGGCTGAAATCGTGTGTGGTCCTGCAGTTTCACAGTAATTTTGTGACCTCGCCGGACAAGCTGTTCAGAACGCTTCTGCTGCCGTTTCGCACCCGAAACACTCCTGGTGGGAAGGGAGCTCGCAGTTATGCTCATTGCAGGGAGCTCAACGAATCGATAAAATTAATAAAAATCAATGAAGAAATGCATTGGCAACACTTTTTGTCATCGATTCATTGTGTTGTGCAACCTTTATGTATCAGCAATGCACACAGTTCATCTGTATGCGGCGTCAGAGCAGACTGAGGCAGATCAGAACAATAGAGACATATGTCGTACATGAGATGAAAAAAACTCAGTGTGCAATTAACTATTTTTTGATGGTTACTTTTCCCCCCAGAACTTTGTTGAACAAAGGTAAGTTGCTTGTTATGGTGTAAGGAAGATGCTTTTTACTGGCGCACAATGTGCTTTTCTAGGTTCTGTGGGGGAAAACAGAGAAACCAGCAAAGACACAAAGGCAGAAACAGTCCAAAGTTTGGGATCAAAAGTGCAACGATGGGCAGATTAGCTAATGCTAGTGGGTAGCAGGCTCATGATCAAGTGGGGTTACTTAAAAACACGATGGTCATGAAACTAAAGGACCCCACCATCTTGTTTATTTATCCTGTTTAAGCTGTCTGCAGTGCTATGGGAACAGAACCGCTGCAGTCAGGTTGCTGCTTCAGGTCTGCTCTGCTACACCGCTGCAGGAGTTTGGCAAGCCACTGTAGCATGTAATTCACAAAAACGTCTATCTGTGAAAATAATTTAAATTGGATAATTGCTAACAAGAACATAATAGATATGCCACCATTACATTTTTAGCAGTAAATTCAATGTTATTAGCATTTCCAGTAGCTTACTGAGATCAGTGGACTCAGTGGTCTAAAGCAGCTTAAAACTCACTTGTTCAAGCTGGCTTTCCCGTGACCTTCGTCACCACCCTCTCTTTGTTTTGCTTTTATTCCACCTTTCCCAGGATCCACTGATTTCCCTCTTTCCTATTCATTTTCTCTCTCCCTTTCCTTAAATTTTTATCACAATTTTTTAAAACATATTTTTAATATTTTTTTTAAATTTTTTATATACTTTTATTTTGTGAAGCGCCTCCTGATTTTTATCTTGAGAGGTGCTATATAAAAGATTGTTTTCCTTCTTTCTTACAACTGAACATGTTAATGAAATACATACAATTTTACTGATCATAGATTAAATATGGATACATTTAGGTCAGTGGTTCCCAAACTTATTTAGCCGCGCACCCCCTTCTATGTCCCGACCATGTCGACGCACCCACCCACCCCCCCCCACCCAGCCCCCACATTGGGGCATGGCTCTATATATATCAGATGTCAAGCTAAACACACAGGGTTAAAAAAATTCCCCATCACTTTCATTTTTTAAATAGTAATTAATAAACATTCGATATCATTACAATTTCCTTTGATTTCATTTTAAATAAATATTTAGAGTGCCCAGGTAGAACATCAACAATGCAATTGAACGGTTTTCTTAAAGTAGGAACGTTTAACCTGTGCGGCCAGAGCGCTCTCCTTCCTTCTGCTCTGCGTAAACCTGAGCTGATCACCTACTTGTGCGTAATCAAATGTCAATAGGGGACAAGATATAGCCATGATGTTCACTTTTACCTCAGACCGACTTATTGCTGTTTTATGGTGTGGCTGAATCTGCGATCCGCTGTCATGCGGACTGGAACAACAAATGCTGCAGTAACATGAGTTGTGGTCAGGTTCATGAGGAGTCACTGGCTGGAGCGGACCGACTCATCCCAGAAGCTAATATCTTAATTTGACCTTGAATGAAAAATAACCTCTTAAAAGTTTTTATCACGGTGGAGGCAGCGTTCATTTCTGCCTTCAGTCTGACGGCGCGCCGGAGTTAAAGCAGCGTGTGCGCTTATTGAATCTGTGTGTGTGCGCGTGCACGCGCGCGCGGCACAGCCGCTCAAGTCACCGCATCTCGCGCTATTTAAACCAATCTTGTAAAATGACTTCTGCCCAGCCCAGATGTGCTCACTTGTGCACCCGTGAGCCGTGGTTCAGCCGGAACGCGTCTGACCTCTGACAGACGCACTCTGAACTTCAGATCTTCAGCGCGCTGTTAATAGCCTGAATGGGAATCATTTCTTGTTATTTAGTTACATCCACAATGTTCTGTGTGTGAGGTTTACAATGTCAGAAACACCTGCATGAGACAGGGTGTTAATTACAATCTGCCAGAATGACTCACCTTCAGATTTCTCCAACACCGTTAAAAATGATCAAATACGGAACATATCGGCGTGCGCAGGCCAGAGTGCTGAAGCTCGGCGCATTGTTATTATGAAGCTAGGGCACATGCGGAGGACACGCACGCGCGCAAAAATATACTTGTTTTCAATTACATTTATTGTGCCCACTTACTTTTTCTTAGGCCCACCCACAAATGAGTTTCTGGCTACGCTAATGGATATGACAGACTTCTCTGAGCTCCGCAGCCATTACACTTTTCACCTCGCGCACCCCCTAGCGGCAGCTCGCGCACCCCCAGGGGTGCGCGCACCACACTTTGGGAATCCCTGATCTAGGTGATAGCATGTTGTTTTGCATGCTATTTAACTGTTTTCTAATCACGTTTTGTTGTTAAAGTAAAGGAAGGAGAGAAAAAAATTTTGCCCTAGAGGTTAAATTTTCCTGTTTAATCCGATTAATTGATTAACCGAGGCGAGACCCCATCCGACTCATCGATGATCCAAATGTTGCAGCCCTACTCGCAGGTAAAACACTTGCCGATATCTATGCATCCAGTGGAAAGCCTGGGTTACTGTTTTCACACTCTGGTTTAAGCGTGATGTTTCAGTTTGCTCCAAATAGCTTTTCATTTAGATTGCAGCAGCTGTCTGCTGCCTACAAGGTGGGAAACTCTAGCTCTCTGTTTGGCTAAAACTATCGCTAAAAGCAATTATGCTGCAGTGGGCTGGACCCATCACAGTTCCTAAAGGAATGTTCTAGTATTATTTTGAAAATGTAACTTTGTCAGGTATTTGGAGCTCAGCTGCCTTCCCCCTCATCTGAAGGTGACTTTGATTATTGCAGTGAGTTGCTATGGACCAGCAGGTGCAAGTTCTGAAACACAGACAGAACCACAAATAAATAGTTATAAGTCATCCTGACAGTCACACTTGGAGGCAGGATGAAAGTCGCTCGGTGGGGGTTGTTCACATGGAAATTATGTTTTAATAAGGGTAAGAAGGCAGAAACCAGCTGCTGCTTCATTTTTGCTGAACTCACCAGTGTGTGTGTGTGTGTGTGTGTGTGTGTGTGTGTGTGTGTGTGTGTGTGTGTGTGTGTGTGTGTGTGTGTGTGTGTGTGTGTGTGTGTGTTTGAAAGAGAAAGCCTCATAATCAGTTTCTGAAAGTCAGTGAAACATTCTGACAGAGCCAGCTAATGTGACAGAGGATAAGAGTGAACCAGGGGGTGTTCAGAGCTGTTAAACCGCTGCTTATTGTCTTATAATGGGCACAGAAAGAAGGAAATCAGTTCAGATGCTTAAAAGGCTTCTCAGAACTGCAGCTTACTTTATAACCACTAGACCTTCACCCCCGTCTCACCCTCAAGGCCCATTTAACTAACTGAGCGGTTAATGAATAAGCCTAAAACAGTTCTTCACCTTCAGTGTTGTTTTTGTCAATGATGACGATGACTAAATGTTTTTGTTGATGCCCTTTTTCTCATAACGAAAACAAGGTGCTGAAAAAGTTACTCTTTGGTGACTAAAACATGACGAGACGTGCGGGAGTTTCCATTTTCGAGACCGGACGAAAATAGTGCTCAAAATGCAAATTTCTGCATGTCTTACTCAAGCTAAGAAATAACGGCGCGTTCTGCTGTGCACGCCGAGAAGAGCAACAACACAGCCACCAACAAAAAAGACATTATCACATTTAAGTAAGAGGACTTTGCCAGAATATACTTTTAAAGACACTAAGTTGGAAGTCTGATAACTCCAAAAATAAACAAATTAAACAAAAAAATTTTTTTTTTCAATTTAAGTATCGTGTAGAACACTCTGTATGCTTCCTATAAGTGTCTGGCTCATTTTTGTTTGTGAAAATCTACTGAATGATGCACAGATTTGCATCAATAAATTAATTCTATAAAGTGTAATGATTACCAGCAAAGTAACAAAAGGACGTCACTCTGGGATTATTGTTTTACTGGACTAAATCTGGGGCAACTAAGATTGTGTCCAATCTCTCCTTTAGCCCTAAAATAAAAGATGTGGGTATGAAACTCTCTCTAGTAGCTCAGAGTACATGTGTGACATCACAATTAATTTGTTAACGACTAATACTTTTATCTTTTGTGAAACTTAAAACAAAAATCTTTGTCGACTAAAAAACCTACGATGCCTGCCAAAAACAACACTGCTTTCAGCCAAATTGTGGAAAATTTTCAGAGTTTGAAACGTCATCATCTCATTCCCTCTTCATCGGTGTCTCCCTGCAGGAGACTCATCAGATGCTGGCCGACAAGAAGCATCTCCATGTAGTGGAGTTCCAGGCGCATCGAGGTCCGCTGCCCATGGTTGTGGCAAGTCCTAAAGATGGCGTGCGTCCCAACCCAGAGTCTGACGATGAGATCCCCAGCACCAAGCTGCACTGGGACGATGTTCGAGCTTCACAGGGGTATAAACGCTCCATCTGGGCAGGAGTCAAACGCACCATCTGGTAGTGCAAACATCCAGACTGTGAGCTGTCAGAAACCAGGAGCAAACAGCTGAAATGCTTTTTGTTTGTTGCTCTTTTCAGAGTCGGTTCACTTTGGGAATGTCTGAATGTCCTGTGCGCTGTTGTTATAATTCATTATTCTCATTTACTTGCATCAACCAAAATTCTAATAATTAGCAAAAATCGTAGAGTTCTTGCTCCATGTGTTTTTTTTTTTTTTTTTTTGCAAAAAATAAAGTATAATTTATAATCCAGTGGTTGTTTATTTCTTTCTCTTAGAAGATAAATCACGTCTCTGTTACAAATTTTGCAGGACGTGGGTTTAATATTTGGGGTGCCAAATTTTCCTGCTTATAATTATCTCAAATGTTTAAGCAAATTCAGAAGTGCTCATAAATCGCACTAGGGGCTGGTTCCAGAAAGGAGCAAGTTCCCATTGACTCCCATGTTAAAAATGCCAACAGCCTGGTACAAAAAGCCACTGCTATACAAGTGCAAGTCATTTATCACTGTCAATTTGTTTAACTCACGTGTTCAGATGTAAATAAAGGGGCGTGTTCTTTGACAGGTGTCAGATGAGCCATCAGCAGCTTGCTCAGATGAAGGTAGCAGAGTCTCAACCATGGTTTTCTGGCTGAAAGCATCTGCTAACCTGCATTAGTTTTGGTTAGCTCTGGATTAGCTCAGTTAGCTCATAGCTACTTTGGTTCAGAGTCTGATGAGTATCAGTCATTTGCCCCCACTCTGCACCACCTCTTTGCCCATTTTTGTATTTTCTGGGAGTGATGAGACACGTGGCGTGGCCAAGATGGTGGTGGAGGGAACTGCCCACTGGGCTTCAATGCAGCTCTTCAAAAACCCACAGGTTATGTGATGAAGGTTCCATCCATTTTATTTATACAGTTTGTAATTTTCACTCTGAAATTGTCACAGGTTAATTTTTTTTCAACAAAAAAAAATCTATTTACTTCTGGATCTTTCTTCACAAATACGTTTACTTTGACAGAAAGTTGTGTGCACAATGAATTATTATGGTTGACTGCGGCAGAGGGGTTAGGTGCCCACCCTGTAACCAAAAGGTTGGAGGTTCGAACCCCGTCTGTCATAGTTGTTCTCCTTAATGCTGTTTGTGTTGTAACGTGCCATGGGGGGTTGTAGAACCTTGGAAGGTGTTGTATCAAATACAGACCCTTTTATTATTTTCTCTGCCTATTTTGGGTTCCATGCTGTTCATTGTAATAAAAACACAGCTTTCTGCTTGACTTTATTTAGATTTATTTAAAAATTTTACCAGTGACTGAATGTTTGGTTCAGCAACCATAATTTCATTAAAACTAATGAGTGCTTGTTCTAATATTTGAGAAACACAGAAAAATGTGCGTTAAATTTTAATCCGCTCACATGTTCCTGTTTACAATCTCCAGTTCTTCTCTGTAGTCTGACATCAGTTTTCCTGCTTCCTTATCTTGATTTCTCGTTTTTTGTTCCTTGTTTTTTTTTTTTACCTTTTTGAGTTTATACGACCTGCCTCCTTATACTTGTCAGAGCTGCTCACCCCCTACATCCCCTTCTGGTCACTAAGGTCGGCTGACCATCTACTGCTCAAAGTCCCTAAAATGAAGTATAAAGCTTGTGGGGAGCGTGCGTTTGCCTTTGCTGCTCCCAGACTCTGGAGCGCACTCCCTCTGGTGGTACGCCAGGCTTCCTCACTGGCCCAGTTTAAATCCAGCCTAAAGACATTTCTTTAATTTAGCTTTTGGCCAATGATCGTTCTTGTATGCTGTGCTTCTGTTCTGTTTTTTTTTTTGTTACTTCTGTTTTAACTGGCTGTTTAAATTTTTGTTTTGATTTTAGGTGTTTCTATTTTAACGGTTTTTAATTGTGTTTTATGTATATGTATGTGAATTTGAATGGCTTTTTAGGTTTAACTCTGTGCAGTGCTTTGGTCAGCTGACATGCTGTTTTTAAATGCGCTATAGAAATAAAATTGGATTGGATTCCTGTTCCTCCACCTGAACCTTCAATTCACGACCCAAAATGTTTGAAAAAGAAAAAAAAAACACAAGTTTGAAGGTTACAACTTTTAATCATCAAGGCTATAAAAATACACTTTGTGTACTTTGTGTCATATGAAACAAACCGAAAATATGGGTACAAAGATACATATTTACAGCCATGACAGTACTTTCATATTTGTAGTTACATTTAATTCTTGCCATATTTTATTATTATTAGTAGGAGTAGTAGTAGTATGAGTAGTAGAGTAGTAGATGCAATGGTGGCAGAGTAGTAGTAGTGTAGTAATATTGTTAGTTTTAGAGTAGTTGTTGTAGAATAGCAGTAACGTAGTAGTAGTAAAAATGATTGTTGTACAGCAGTAGTAATGGTAGTTGTACAGTAGTAGTAGTAGTAGCAGTAGTTATTGTTGTAGAGTAGTAGTAGTAGTTATTGTTGTAGAGTAGTAGTAGTAGTAGTAGTAGTAGTTATTGTTGTAGAGTAGTAGTAGCATAGTTGTTGTAGAGTAGTAGTAGCAGTAACGTAGTTGTTATAGAGTAGTAGTAGTAGTAGAGTAGTTGTTGTAGAGTAGTAGTAGTAGTAGCAGTAGTAGAGTAGTTGTTATAGGGTTTTAGTAGTAGAGTAGTTGTTGTAGGGTAGTAGTAGTAGTAGTAGGGTAGTTGTTGTAGGGTAGTAGTAGTAGTAGTAGGGTAGTTGTTGTAGAGTAGTAGTAGTAGTGTAGTTGTTGTAGAGTAGTAGTAGCGTAGTTGTTGTAGAGTAGTAGTAATTAATGCTGTACCGTAGTTGTTGTAGTAGTAATAGTAGTTGTAGAGTAGTAGTAGTAGTAGAGAAGTTGTTGTAGAGTAGTTGTTGTAGGGTAGTAGTAGTAGTTGTTGTTGTTGTAGGGTAGTAGTAGTAGTAGTAGTAGTAGAGTAGTTCTAGAGTAGTAGTAGTAGAGTAGTTGTTGTAGAGGAGTAGTAGTAGCAGTAGAGTAGATGTTGTAGGGTAGTAGTAGTAGTAGTAGTAGTAGTAGTAGTAAAGTAGTTGTAGTAGTAGAGTAGTTGTTGTAGAGTAGTAGTAGTAGTAGTAGTAGTGTAGTTGTTGTAGAGTAGTAGTAGTGTAGTTGCTGTATAGTAGTAGTAATTATTGCTATACAGTAGTTGTAGTAGTAGTAATAGTAGTTGTAGAGTAGTAGTAGTAGAGTAGTTGTTGTAGAGTAGTAGTAGTAGAGTGTTGTATAGTAGTAGTAGTAGTAGTAGTAGCGTAGTTGTTGTAGAGTAGTCGTAATTATTGCTGTACAGTAGTAGTAGTAGTAATAGTAGTTGTAGAGTAGTAATAGTAGTAGTAATAGTAGTAGTTGTAGTAGTGTAGTGTGTAAAGTAGTATTAGTAGAGTATTTGTAGTAGTAGTAGTAGAGTAGTTGTTGTAGAGTGGTTGTAGTAGTAGTAGAGTAGTTGTATTAGAGTAGTAGTAGTAGTAGTGTAGTTGTTGTAGAGTAGTAGTAGTAGTAGTAGAGTAGTTGTACTAGTAGTAGTAGAGTAGTTGTTGTAGAGTAGTTGTAGTAGTAGTAGAGTAGTTGTATTAGAGTAGTAGTAGTAGTAGTGTAGTTGTTGTAGAGTTGTAATAGCGTAGTTGTTGTAGAGTAGTAGTAATTATTGCTGTACAGTAGTAGTAGTAGTAATAGTAGTTGTAGAGTAGTAGTAGTAGTAATAGTAATAGTTGTAGAGTAGTAGTAATAGTAGTATTGGTGGTAGTAGTTGTAGTAATAGTAGTTGTAGAGTAGTTGTAGTAATAGTAGTATTGGTGGTAGTAGTAGATTTGTCGTAGTAGTAGTAGTATTAATTGTAGAGTAGCAGTAGTAGTAGTAGTAGTAATAGTAGTGTCGCGTTCCCGTCCCATTTACCGGTTCCTTTAAAACCCAGTTCCGTTAGAACTTATGAGACGGTGCATCCATCAGGGTTCGGGGGTGTTGAGGGTCTGACCTCATGAGGAAATTACTATGCAGTGATTTTCTCCAAAATGACTGTGCTTAAATTGCTCTGAAAAGCAAATAATCACATCAGCGCCAAGAAACTTCATTTCCCATGATGCTTTGCACACGGAAGCATTGGGTGATGTCACCGCCTAGTACCAGAAACACGTTCTGCGCATGTGCGGGAAGCCGTGGAGCTTTTCCCGCGAACTAAGACCATAAATCTTCAGCAGAGACAAAGAATCCTCGTTCTTTTGCCCAGGATACCTGGCGGTTAGGACACGCTTGTCAACGCTCCGACAACTTGAGCACGCGGAAGCTCTAAGTGCCCGAGTTGAGCCCACGGAACTGCTGGAAACTAAACTGCAAGCCCATCAGATCTGCTCGTTTCTGCTCCCCTCCAGCTGATGTTTGAGGACACAGAACTGCGGAGGAAAGCAACAACTCCATCAAGCACGCTGTAAGTTATAACTCAGCACAGAAAGAAACTTTGCTGTCTCTGTCCAGCCCGTGGAGAAACACTCGTGAACGCCAAACAACGGAGAAAGCATCAAACCGACGGACGACGCCGAAAGCTGCGGAGAAACACGGAGAACCGTCAAATCAAAGAGGGAGGGACGCCTCGCTTTTCTGGTGATCAGCAACTCATCTCTTTCTCTCTCTCCTTCTTCTTCCATTAACTCTATAGTCCAGAATAAGCAATAAAACCGCGCTATTGCTTAAAAAGTAGCTTCGTGTTTTCCTCTTTCGTCCCAAACACGTCCGTCGGGTCATTTTGAAAGAATAAACTGCTTATTGATCATTGTTTGGTATCTTAAAATGGTTTCTGTCATGGCCAGGCTGAAACTAAAAGATATTAATTTGTGATTAATCTTTTGTGTTGTTTCATGATCTTTTGAAATGTTTTGAGTGATTTAAGGTTAAGTTACTACTGATTCTAAGTGCTTTGGAAGTTAAAGTGCAAGTTGCCACCCACACTTTAGCCAGACAAAGGGGTCAGCCATCTTGTATTCAAGACTCCATTTTGAATCCATACACACGCACACACACACACACACACACACACTACTCCTTTGTGAGAACAAAGGACCCCATTCATACATCCTCCATCACATGCAAACACATCCATCTTCAATCATATCACACGGTTATTATTCATCTATTCCACTGTTTATTCATTTGACAAATTGTTAATTAAATGTTATAAAATTCAGATTTTTGTGTCCAGTAGCTTTGTTGTGTCGAAGAGAAGTCTCTGCTCCGAGGATTCTACGAACTTCAAGAAAGACTGATAAGAGTTTTGGATTCATTTCCCTTTCTAATTAAAGGGTGGTGCCCCGAAGATATCTAAGAATATCTTAATTAATTAATAAATCAGTAAATAGTTCCATATTTACAGAATTTATTGAAGAATCCAAAAGTAAGTTAAAGCTTACGAATTGTTCGCTCCTAATAACCCCAACATTTTATTGGTGCAGCCCGCGTGAGGCTTGGATACACAGAGATTTCTATCCGGCACAAACAAGCAAATAAATCCAAAGAGCTTGAATTAAAAATAATCCGTTGTTCAGCCTTGAACCAGCAACAGAGTGGTGCTGATTTCGCTGAGCAGGAAGCTGCATCGAACTCTCACCAGTAACTCAGTGCTTCTTTAAAGGTGCAACGTGTAAATTAATTCTGGTTGACCTTTTAGGTTAAAAATTCAGTTTTTCCTTAAAGGTGCAACGTGTAATTAATTCTGGCTAACCTTTTAGGTTAAAATTCAGCTTTTCCTTAAAGGTGCAACGTGTAATTAATTCTGGCTAACCTTTTAGGTTAAAATTCAGTTTTTCCTTAAAGGTGCAACGTGTAATTAATTCTGGCTAACCTTTTAGGTTAAAATTCAGTTCCTCATTAAAGGTGCAGCGTGTAAGTAATTCTGACTAACCCTTTTAGGCTAAAATTAACTGCTAATTTAGCGACTTTAACTCACAGTGGCTATTATAACTAACTGAAACCTTCACTCAAAGACTGATAACACCCTGTTTGCTAATATTCTGAAGGAATAACTAGCATATTTAACACTGCAAGTGTTGTAAGACGTTGCTACGGCAACGCACCAGCTTTTGCTAAAATACTGAAAGGAATAGTATTTTAAGCGTCAGTCACGGCATTCCGTGCAATCTTAAAACGCTAAAACCTGTGCGCACAAAGGTTAATTTAGTGTTTTTCTGCTACAAAGCTAGCAGTTGCTGCCCAAAAGGTGCAGCTTGAGCTATCTGCAGAAGCTCTACTAGGCTATTTTTGGTTCGGTTGTTAAAATGGAGGGACAGAGTAGTGAACTGACCAACTCCCAGCAACCAGGTGACGCTGCGGCCCACGACTATGAACCTGGCCTACTTTCTGGACAAATATTGTCCAAACTGGTCGCGGTTGCTCGAGAACCCGACTACCCTTCTAGGGATTTCACTGAAGAACAGCTTGACGCTGTAATCAATCAAATAGAAAACCCGGATGGTACAAAACCAATCCAGGTTCACTTAGCTAAGTTAGCCCTGATCCTCTATCAGAGAGAACTCCAACATGATCGAGAGATCTTGAACCTCCAGAATATGCTAGCTGAAAAACAGCGAAATGGAAGTCTGAAGGATGAGGAGGACGACGACACCCGCACCGATTCTGGGGAAGATGGGGAGAAGACCCCGCCCCCTTCTGCTGATGACAACAGACAGTGGGAAGGGGGGAAACACCATGACTCTCTGGACGGACGCACGCCGCAGGGGAGAGATGAAGCTTATCTGTCCCAACCTTCGGCCCCGTTCCCTACACACACTATAGGGCATTCAGGACCACCTAGGGGCCGAGAGCAGTTCGCCCTCGAATCCCAGGTTGGACCACCACCCTCATCTTCACGGCCTTCTCAATCAGTGAGAAGTCGACCAGCTGAGTGGCACCTCTATTTAGACCGCTCCCCCAGTCCACAAAGGGTGCAAGGTGCCGATTGGGGTTATGCACCCCAAGCTGCACCTCAACCATCCACCCATCCTAGCTACTTCGGTATTCGGCATGCC